GACGAAGGATTACGGGCTCGCCATAGACCGTGCTACATGGACACCTCGTTCTCAGTAGCTATATCTGAAACAACAACAACAATAATGAGAATGAAATGAAACTAAGTTAGCAGCAAATACGCCTACACCCGAACGTCCACACCCGAACGTCCACACCCGAACGTCCACACCCGAACGTCCACACCCGAACGTCCACACCCGAACGTCCACACCCGAACGTCCACACCCGAACGTCCACACCCGAACGTCCACACCCGAACGCCCACACCCGAACGCCCACACCTGAACGTCCACACCCGAACGTCCACACCCGAACGTCCACACCCGAACGCCCACACCCGAACGTCCACACCCGAACGCCCACACCCGAACGCCTACACCCGAACGTCCACACCCGAACGTCCACACCCGAACGTCCACACCCGAACGCCCACACCCGAACGCCCACACCCGAACGCCCACACCTGAACGTCCACACCCGAACGTCCACACCCGAACGTCCACACCCGAACGCCCACACCTGAACGCCCACACCCGAACGTCCACACCCGAACGTCCACACCCGAACGCCCACACCTGAACGTCCACACCCGAACGCCCACACCTGAACGTCCACACCTGAACGCCCACACCTGAACGTCCACACCCGAACGCCCACACCTGAACGTCCACACCCGAACGCCCACACCTGAACGTCCATACCTGAACGTCCACACCCGAACGCCCACACCTGAACGTCCATACCTGAACGTCCACACCTGAACGTCCATACCTGAACGTCCACACCTGAACGTCCATACCTGAACGTCCACACCTGAACGTCCATACCCGAACGTCCACACCCGAACGCCCACACCTGAACGTCCATACCTGAACGTCCACACCCGAACGCCCACACCTGAACGTACACACCCGAACGCCCACACCTGAACGTCCATACCTGAACGTCCACACCTGAACGTCCACACCTGAACGTCCACACCCGAACGCCCACACCTGAACGTCCATACCTGAACGTCCACACCTGAACGTCCATACCTGAACGTCCACACCTGAACGTCCATACCTGAACGTCCACACCCGAACGCCCACACCTGAACGTCCATACCTGAACGTCCACACCCGAACGCCCACACCTGAACGTCCATACCTGAACGTCCACACCCGAACGCCCACACCTGAACGTCCATACCTGAACGTCCACACCCGAACGCCCACACCTGAACGTCCACACCTGAACGTCCACACCCGAACGCCCACACCTGAACGTCCATACCTGAACGTCCACACCTGAACGTCCATACCTGAACGTCCACACCCGAACGTCCATACCTGAACGTCCACACCCGAACGCCCACACCTGAACGTCCATACCTGAACGTCCACACCCGAACGCCCACACCTGAACGTCCATACCTGAACGTCCACACCCGAACGCCCACACCTGAACGTCCATACCTGAACGTCCACACCCGAACGCCCACACCTGAACGTCCATACCTGAACGTCCACACCCGAACGCCCACACCTGAACGTCCATACCTGAACGTCCACACCTGAACGTCCACACCTGAACGTCCATACCTGAACGTCCACACCTGAACGTCCACACGTGAACGCCCATACCTGAACGTCCATACCTGAACGTCCACACCTGAACGTCCATACCTGAACGTCCACACCTGAACGTCCACACGTGAACGCCCATACATGAACGTCCATACCTGAACGTCCATACCTGAACGTCCACACGTGAACGCCCATACATGAACGCCCACACCTGAACATCCATACCTGAACGTCCACACGTGAACGCCCACACCTGTAAGCCTCACGCATACAGACACACCTGAACATACACCCACACCCGAAGGTTCTCACACATCCACTTTATAATACCTAATCCTCACGTGACAAGAAATCCTTGAACAAATCTGGGATTAAGCTTACTTAGGCCCGGAACAGGTTGGGCTATGTGCACTGCTAGTCTCGGTGTTGTATACCTTTCACCACTTACATAAACCTTTCATCATACATCTATTAAAAGTGGTGTCCAGGTAGTTTTGCCAGGGGGAGGGGAATAATTTGGGATTTTGTGCACGTTAATACAATATTTTCACGCTTGCTGGTGGTGGAAATATGGGTTCTACATGCGGGCATAAGACCAGGAAGGGTTCGAACCCCGGTGATGCTGTTTGGGTTTCAGGGTAAGTTAGGTTAGATAAAGTTAGGTTTGGGACACGTCTCTACATACAGGTTTGAACAATAAGATAATTAATGAGGCAATTTTACCCTAAACCCAAATGCCAAGATCTGAAAATAAAGTTGACATTACTTGTAATATTCTTAGGAATAACGGAGGTAATTGAGTCTTACTACTTACCATTAATCAACAAGATTTTCCACCAATATTTATCACATATATATTACTAATTTTATCTATAATATTAATTTCTAATATGAAGATTATTTATCATTTATCATTATATAAAGTCTAACTTTATTATCCTTAAAGCAATCTTTCGGTTACCTTACGATGGTTCCAAGGATCAACGTGCCCACGGCCCGGTTTCTGACCAGGCCTCCTGGTTGATGGTGTGATCAACCAGGCTGTTGTACGTGGTTGCTCGCAGCTTGACGTGTAAATCACAGCCAGGGGCCAGATTCAGGAAGCAGTTAAGCAAGCACTTACGAACCTGTACATCTTTTCTCAATCTTTGGCGGCTTTGTTTACAATTATTAAACAGTTAATGAGCTCCGAAGCACCAGGAGGCTGTTTATAACAATAACAACAGTTGATTGGCAAGCTTTCATGCTTGTAAACTGTTTAATAAATGTAACCAAAGCCGTCAAAGATTGAGGAAAGATGGACACGTTCGTAAGTGCTTGCGTAACTGCTTCGTGAATCTGGCCCCTGGTTGATTAGGTATTCTTTGATGGTGTTTATCAAGTTCTCTCTCTGTTGAACACTGAGAGCTCGGCCAGTTATGTCCCTTATGTGTAGTGGAAGCGTGTTGAACAGTCTCGGGCCTCTGATGTTGATAGTTCTCTCTCAGAGTACCTATTGCACCTCTGTTTTTCAATGGGTCTATTATGCAGACGCTACACCAGTTAAATTCTCCTTACTCGTCATTGTAAAATTTATTTTGAAATTTGCAATTTAAAACTTAACATTTCAATCCTTTATTGTTGACTATGTTGATCAATCGTTGGAGGAGTTAGAAGCCAGTATAGCTAACTGTCTCATAGGCTGATTAGCTATATGGCTGTGGACAAAAAAGAATAAAAACACGTTTAAATAGAAATGTGAAAGATATAATGCTGAACAGAACCTCACGTTGAAGATTGCTAGCATGCACTTCAGTGGCTTTCAAGTAACTGGTCTAGTTGTACCTTAATATTTTATCCAAACTTTGCTTTCTTGGTAGAGAAGTTCCAGTAAAGTATTCTGAAAAGCATCTGGAACATATTGTATCCTCAAAGGCCCATTGTAATGGGTTCTGGTGCTGTCAGAGTCCTGTAAGCCTGAACAAGTGTCAATATGAGTCCATTTGGTCATCTTGATGCCTGGTCGAAAGTAGAATGCAGGCGAGGAGTCACAATAACGTGGCTGAAATATGTTGACCAGACCACACACTATAAAGTGAAGGGACGACGACGTATCGGTCCGTCCTGGACCATTCTCAAGTCGGTTGTCGACTTGAAAGTAGTGTTATTTAGTTGAAGGTAGAGTTATTTAAGCGTAATGTCTAAGCTTGGATGGATGTGAACTATGGGACCTACCTAACGATGACCTTAGTAAGGCTAATTGTAAGTGGAGGTAATGTTCAAGACGTATCTTGGGTGTCTTGTCCTCACAGTCACTGTGTCCTCCTCACTGGTCTCATGTCCTCATCCACACTTGAAGACATAATTAAACAACGAATGATATCATTTTCCCAGCACAGAATCATCCACCCAGCACAGAATCATCCACCCAGCACAGAATCATCCACCCAGCACAGAATCATCCACCCAGCACAGAATCATCCACCCAGCACAGAATCATCCACCCAGCACAGAATCATCCACCCAGCACAGAATCATCCACCCAGCAAACTAAATCAGTTTTTTTTTCACATATTCTCTTATCACTGACCACTTCAGCTTTGCCAGAAATATTGTCAGGAAATACAACATACGAATGACTGATGTATATAATGTTGTAGCAGGTATACACAATAATACAACTAATCATACAGGGAACCCACAGCTGGGTATGTGTAATTATTAAGGATTTACTTCTACAAACAGTTGTCTTAATAATAATATTAAAATTCCTTCAAAATTCGGATCTGTGTTGCATGATCGATGAGTTCAAAGTAACTTTGACTGAGGCTAGCAGATTATTCTGTGAATAATAATAATAAAAATAATTCGCTTTATCGAGATCCCTGGCACCTATTGACTGTTAGGTTAACAGGTACATTTGGGGGAAAGAAATTGGACCCAACTGCTTCTGTCCTGGCCGGTAATCGAACCCCGGGATTCTGCACAGTGAGTCAAGAATGTAGCCAACTCCACTACTAAACCCTTCATGCAGAAGCTGCATATTTATATCATATCAAAGTCCTCGTCGCATATATTTGTAACATGTCAAATTTTGTGCATTTATTGATGTTCTGTTATAAATATCAATTATTTATTAATATTAAATATTGTATCACTTAAATTAGGAAAAAAACCATCAATACATTTCACCTAGCATCATGGCAGTGTCATTGTACACATTATAATATATTTATGCATTATAATATGTGTATAGTATAATGATCAGAGCTAGACTACTAATGTTCAACCCGTGTTCTTGAGTGCTCACTACGTCACTACACTGATGTACTAAAGCGCCTTCAAACCTAATGGCGCTACAGGTGTCCAGCTGTTTACATGTAAACCTTCCACGGAGGCAAGATGTGTACAGGTCAATATATAATGAGAGTTGTGTCGATGTCTCCCAGCAG